AGGAATGAGAAATGAATTTTTGTTGAATTCCCTGGTGGTCCAGTGGTTAGGACTCTGTGCTTCCAACGCAGGGGGCACGGGCTGATCGGGGAGCTAAGATCCCGCATGCCACATGGCACGACCAAAAAAAAAAAAAGAGAGAGAGAATCTTTGTTGTCTTATGCCACCAAGATCTGGGGTCTGTTTGTTACTGCAGCATAACCTGGGCTATCCTGACTAATACAGTGAGAAGCAGCTCCAGCTCTTTAGGGTCTCACTGGGATTCAAAGTGAACACTGTCTGCCTTTTCCAGGCATGAGGATACAAACAACCTCTTATTGTTCTTTGTATTGGGTCACTTAAGACAAAACAGGCTCTGAATCATAAGAGGAACTTCAGAATCACTCTGAAAGATGGCAGTACTTATGACTATATAACCCTTAAAGAGACTACCTTGAAAGATTGAATTTATTTATAAACATTAAATCTTTTTTGTTACCACAATGAGGTATCATTAGACCCCTATCAGAATGGCTAAAATAAAAAGTAGTGAGAGTATCAGATGCTGGCAAGGGTGCAGAGAAACTGGATCACTCACACGTTGCTAGAGAGAATGCCAAGTGGTCCAGCCACTCAGAACAGGAGTGTAAACAGTTCCTTACAAACCAAATATGTGCTTACTATACAACCCAGAGATTTCACTCCTAGGCATTCATCTCAGAGAAATGAAAACATGTTCACACAAAAACCTGTATATGAATGTTGACAGCAGATTTATTCATAGTAGCTGGAAACTGGAAACAACCAGTTGTCCTTCAATGGGTGAATATTTACACTATGGTATATCTATACCATGGACTACTACTGAGCAAGAAAAAGGTACAAAGGATTGATACATGCAGCAACTTGGACGGATCCCAAAGGAATTATGCTGAGTGACAAAAAGTGATATATATATATAAATATACAGCATTTTTGAAAGGACACATGATAGAGTTGGAGAACATGTTAGTGGTTGCCAGGGGTTAATTAGGAGGCAGCGAGGTGGCTGTCGCTACAGAAGGGTAGGATGAGGAATCCTGGTCATGGGACTGTTCCCTATCTTGACTGTGTAACTGTCACATGACTCTGCACGTGTGATGAAATTGCATAGAACTAAGAATTAGCGATGTTGAGCATCTTTTGAGCATGCCAACACACACAGGTGCAGGCATATCTCAATAAGCTCAATGGAGTCTAACAAGGTCCTGGTGGTGATATTAAACTACAGTTACTTAAGATCCTACCAATGGGGGAAACTGGGTGAAGGGTAAACATATCTCACTGTATGATTTCTCACAGCTGCATGTGAATCCACAATTACACCACAACAAAAAGGTGTTTAAAAATTGTAATTGGTTAAAAAACAACAACAACAACAACAAAAACCTATCTTTATTCTCTATCCCCTTATCCTGGTTTATCTTATTTTCTTTAGAGCACTTAAACTATTAAACATCACACGTGTTTGTTTATATGTTACTTTTTTGCCTCCCCTGCTGATATGTATGCTCTATATGGGTAGAGACTGTTTTATTCTCCTGGTGCCTAGAGCATTCCTAGCACAGAGTTGATGCCCAGGACATATTCATGGAATAAGTGAATGAATGTGAAATATGGAAGGAAGGAATGAATGTGCTTTCATTGCAGCACTTTCACCATTTCAGAAAGCTCTAACACATAAAGATAACAATTCAATCAACATTTTTCACATTTTCTAACTCCAGGAGTTATGGCTCTTGGTACAGAACTATTTCTTTTACAACGACAGAACTGTGTAACTCATCTTTCTGAGTACATAATGCCTGCTTTGCTTTCAGCCTCCAGAGGTTCGAACCTCCCCAGCAGAGGTAAAAGTATGAACCGAATTAGATAATTACCTATAAGAATGCATTTCAGCTTGGGTGCCATTTGGCAAGCATTAAATTCCGGGTCAGCCTCATGGATGCTTTATAAACTCAAGGAAAAAAATACCTGATAGCAGTCAAACAAAAATGCTATATTTTAACCATGTTTCATACATTGAAATTAAATAATTACTCCTTTTTTCTTTTTTGGCCACATGCCTTACCTTAGTGAAGCTGAGTTTATTCTAAGGAGCCAATTAAATGACTGTCGAGGCCAAGCCAAGGCCAGGAACTTGAAGTGAATTGTGAAACAAACCAAAGAACAAACTGTACTAATCTGCTGGATCTGAAACCAAACCTTAATACGAACTGTTTACTGAAACGTGAACCAGGTAAAGTTGAGTGTACTTTCCAAACACACCTGACAATTCAGTCTAATCAAGTAACCAAACCTATATATATTTAACAGCTCCTGAACAGCCTCAAAAACTCACATTGCTAAACAAATCCCAGACCAAAGTTGAATGAAACGAATATTTCTTTACAGTGACTTGACTAAGGAAGACACAATAGAAATGTGATGATCAACATTCTTTTCAAAGTCAACATTATAATATGGTGAGTTTTAAAACAAACCAGCCTGAAAGTATTTTTCCAAGGGAGTCTATACGATCCTTTTGATATGTGTATTTTGTGCAGAAGGAGGAAGTTAGCGGTTCCGAATTACAACGGAAAAAGAAAGGATTGAGGAGAGTGCCTCCTTAGAGATGGGAAACCCGACCATTTTTTGCGACTTAGCTTTAATACTAGGAAGAGACCGAGTACAATCAGAGGGCCGTCCTAACTCCAGTGCTGCAAAACAAACACTGCTTCCAGTGGTCAGAGTGCAGCCCTGGACCCTGAATCGGAGTGGCAGGTGCATTACCTGTAGAGAGCTGGGTGGGAAGGGGGTTCATTTCCTTGTCCACCATCTTCTGGTACAAAGCCCTCAGGCTAAAAGGCTCCACCGTGAAAGGCAGGGTCCCGGTCAGCATGGCATACATGTTCACACCTCTGAAAAGAGAGACACCAGAGCATGAGACCAGAAGAAGACCCCGGGGGAGAGGATGACAAAGAGGACGTGGGCTTGGGGAAGCCGCAGTCCTGCCACTTTCATGTCCACCTCGGTGCTCCTTCTTGGTCATTTTCTAGAACACTCAGCTCTGCTCTGCAACAACAAATGTGAAAGGCGTGGGTGAAAGCACAACTCTGACGATTTGGACAGGCAATCAGAAGAGCTTAAAGAGCTTCAAGATGATACAAATGAACTTATTTACAAAACAGAAACAGATTCACAGACATAGAAACTTACGGTTACCCAAAGGGGAAGCGGGGGGATAAATTAGGAGTTTGGGGTTAACAGATACACACTACTATATATAAAACTGATAAACAACAAGGACCCACTGTATAGCACAGGGAACTCTACTCAGTATTCTGTAATAACCTATTATGGGATAAGAATCAGAAAAAGAATGGATATATGTATATGTATAACTGAGTCACTTTGCTGTATACCTGAAACTGACACAGTATTGTAAATCAACTGTACTCCAATATAAAATTAAATTAAAAATTAATAAATAAAGAGCTTCAAGAGCTATCCCAGTAAGGAGGGGAAACTACGTCCCTTCCTTCTGGAAGGACGTCCAGACCAAATGATGTGAAAAATACCTGGGGAACCTCATATAAATAGGAACCTCGAATAAAAGTAGGTCTGCCATGATGTGGTTTTCCAAGTACAGTTTACAAGGTGGAGCCTGGAGGAGGCCAGACCAAAAAGTACATAGCAAGACCCTGCACAGGAGGCCACGACATAGCCAGCATGCCTGGTTACCACTCAGCCCTTTGAGACAAAAGTCTCATAGCCCACACTGGTGTTCTGCTCTTCCCTTGAGTTCTGTTTTGGCCTGTCACTGGAGAAATTCCTTTGGGGGTGGGGAGGGGAAAGGAAGTCTCTTTCGCACTCTTATTCTCTATATTATTGTTTATTGTGAGATTCTGCCACCCAGTTCTGGACCAATATCTCAGATGTGGTCAGAATACCTTCCGAATGGGCTTAACTATACTTATATCCAAAGCCAAACTAGAGAGCAGCAACATCTCTTGGAGGATTTTTATTTTCCTGATGTGAAACCCTAATATCATTATGATGAGATTTCCTGACGGGGATGAAATGCCTTGCCTGCCAAGAGGTCTGAAGTGTTCAGAAGCGCCCAAGGGAATGTTTTAAAAAGAGGCAACAGGATCTCCAGTCAAAACAAATCCAATGAGACTGACTGAAATGAAGACCCTTGGGGCCCAATTCCACCAAGGTGCCTCTGAATCACAGCGCTCCAGAGAAGGACAGGTACAGAGCCCACAGGCTCCAGCTAGAGATCATTCTCGAATTGCAGGCATATGCCAAGACCCAGCTCCTGCTCTGTAACTCGCAGTCGAGTTAGGGAGACTGATACATCAACATTCATTCCACAAATGCTTGCAGGTCTGCTCTCTGCCCCAGGCAGTGGAATAGATGCTGGCTCTGGGGCGGGTGGGGAACCAGACAAGGAGCCGCCATCTTGGACTTAGAATTGGGTGAAGGCTGACAACAAGCAAGTCAACAAATAAATAAGCACAGTTCTTTCAAATAGTGAGTGCAGAGGGGATAAGAAAATGCTCAACTCTGCTGCTCTTGACCCCAGAGGAGTTGAATTAAGGGCGACAGAGGACTATAATAAGTACTTGAAGATGGGAGGCCTCTCAGGGGTAAGTATATGTGTGTGAGCTTATCTGTCTTGGCCGGCTGGATATGAGGATAAACTGTGTAGACCAAGAAATGGAGACAAGAATGAACAAAGCACACGCAGAGCCGTTTAGAGCAGCGTTTTCCTGTGTGTGCTCAGTGGAACACCAGGACAAGAAGAGATGTTGGGTGAATAAACCTTCTATGGCCAGATAATTGGGGGAGTAGTCATCTGGCATTAAGTGGATGAGGGCTCAGAATGAGCAGGAGACTATGTCATGTTGTTATTAAAGTCTGAACGGGAGGGATGGCGTGCAGTGGAAAGAGAGAGGCAAATCAGCAATAGAGACGTCTGAAGGGGATGCAAGATGCAAACACGGAAAGCCGGATGGTGGTGGTGAGCGTAATAGAAGACAGGAAGCTGGGAGAAGAGCCAGTTTGGGGGCAGAGGGAAGGGGTGTTAGGGGATGTAACCTGTTTGAGAAACTGGGATGCAGTGCTGCACTGAGGGTCTGTTTGAGGCAGGGCCAACCATCCTTGCTTGGAGGATGCTTGGAGACTGATGAGAGGGCAAACTAAGAGGGCCTCCAAATTTTATCATTTTTGCATTCAAAGGGGTCTTGGACACACAGCTCTTATGGATGGAAACCCCATGGGACACTCCACGAGGTTGTTGCTGGAGATCCCTGAAGAACCTCAGAGTCAAACAGCTTCCAACCTCCGTAAGGCAGCTCGGGCCATTCAGGGCAATGCATGGGAAGGGGCTTCAAATACTAAGGCCAAAGTATATAACTTCTACCCGTTGGCTGTGGGACATGACCAGTCAATCCTGTCCCCGCTCACCTCTGTGTGCCTTAATCCTGGCTCTGACACTCACACCTAAAGCTGAACAGCCTGGTACTTAAACAATATCATTTTTCCCACAGGTGTTTTATGGTACCCAACCCATACAGTGATTCTCAAACTGAGGCCCAGGGACACAACTTCAGGGGCTCAGCAGTCTTACTTTTGCTTTTCTTCTGGTGACAGTACTAAGACATTTGACAAAGTCCAACCAGGGACATGGGCCGGCCGCCATATAACCCAGTCACCCTCCAACTGTACACACTTGACTGCAGTGCCTGCTTTTGCATTTGTGTTTACCAACACACACCTTTATTAAGGTGTGTGCTAAAATATATCACGTTTATTATCAATAGGCCAATGAGAAAGGAGCAGAGGTAGACTTAATTTGTCAGTGATGTCTCTATGCTTATATCTGTGGGAAAGAAAGCCTCCTGATGATCTGAAGAGTGTGGTGGTTCCCAAAGTGTGGTCCTCAGGCCAGCAGCCGAAGCATCACCTGGGAACTTGTTAGAAATGCAAATTCTTGGGCCCCGTGCCAGACCTACTGAGTTTGAAACTCGGGGGGGGGGGGGGGGC